AGTTCCATCATACTTTGTTGCATGGTGACCATCATAGTTTCCAGAGTGCTTTGCGACTGTTCTTGGATCTGCTGAGCGTTTCCTAGATTAGACTGGAGTGGGTTTTCCGTCCCCGATCGAAGGGCATCGGCGTATGAGAATCCTGTCTGGGTATTTAGTTGACCAAAGGAGGATCTTGCAGCCATTGAAAGTTTAACCCCGAAAATAATATACAAGCCCGGAACAACAAATATTGTAGCCGATGCATTATCATGGATACAGATAAACAATATTACAAACAGCGACATAGACGTTTCTGAACAGTCAAACTCAGATCTAGACATACAGCATTCTGCTGAAAGTAGTTATGAAAATGTAATACGAGAGACTCGTAAACCGTTAAATCAATTTAAACAAAAACTTTTATTAACAACGGAGAAGTAGTTATACAATACATAAGTCACTAGAAATTTTTTACAAGGCGAGACACAATCGAATATGATCCAGTTGAGAACTTAGTAACCATATTAAGAGAGTATCTTCCACCTAATATAACGGTTGGAATTCACTGTAGTTTAGAAAATATATAAAAAAAATAAAAAAATAAAAAATAACTTTACTAATACATTTCTTTTTACGCGAATATTTCTACAAGACGTAGAAAACGCCGAAGACACAATCGAGCTCATAGGGGACTGGACAAAAGTTATAAACAAATCAGAAGATTATATTATAATTTGTAACGAACTGATTTTGTTGTCTGCTCGCTACGAGATTCGTGCGGCTAGCTAAGAAGATTGTGTGTTCGTCCCACCAAATTTATATGACGTGACTGCCCCGTAGAAAAGTGAGAAAACACAGGGTTCGAATGGTAGCAGTGGGTTTTATTCTCGTGTTATTTATACAGCGGGTAGGTGGCTGGGGTTGCTTCGGTATCTCCTTGCTCTGGCTTCGCCGGCTGCTAGTGCTCCTCTTCCAGGCTTGTCGACGTGTTGACTCGACGTCCGCTGGCTCCTGTGTCTCGGGACCGCCTCTGCCTCTGCTCGCTTGCCAACGCGCTGCCTCGGGGTCGCTTGTCGCGCCTTAGACTCGCAGACAATTCGGCCTTGTGGCCTTAGGAAAGCGTAACCGTTCTCAGACCAGGGTGGACAAGCTTTGGTCTCCAGGCCAACGCCTTTCGAGGCAAATACCTGTCCCTTGCTCTGTCCCAAACGGTCCCGCTAGGCTCGTGCTCAGATCGCGCTGACAGTCAAGGCTACCGCCAGGAAGCTGCTTAGCAGTTTACTTTGCTTAACGCCTAGCGCAGACGAACGTTCCACCCGGCTTCACGTTAATGCTTGACGTCCGCTCCCCAATGAGCTCCGCGCGGCGAGGGTAACGTGGCTGCCGGAGACGATCTTGCTCCTGTGTGCTTCCCACGGCGCTGCTTCCGACGACTCGCTTGGTTGTGGCTCTCTCGTGGATTACTTGCTTGACTGACTGTTCACTTGGTACTTTAACTGATCTTGAAGGTGGTTGAGGAGTCACCTCGTGATCGACTGATCCAGCTGTCAGCGCTCTGCGGCCTTATATAGGGCCTCCGGGAACCGTTATTTCCCTTTTGCGCACGGCCCGCTGGATCTCTCCACTCCGGGTGCAAAGTCCGTGCATCCTGGTTGACCCACTTGTCCTTCACGTATCGCTTCCAACCGATGCTCTGCCCACTGCTGCCGTCCGCTGATTCCCGTGATGCTTGTGGCACGCATGTGTGCCGCTCCGCTGCCGAGATGTGGCACTTCTTCTCCCGGTCTAAAGTTCACGGGAGAGTCCAAAGTCCGGTGGAGTCCCGTTATCCCCACATGACACTCTTGCTCTGCCCGGCAAGTGTCCACTCTCTCCTTATCCGCTCCTTGGTCTCCAAACTCTCTGGGTCTTCATCCTTGGTCTCCAAGCTCTCTCTATCTCCATTCTTGGTCTCCAAACTCTCTCGCTCTCCATCCTTGGTCTCCAAACTTTCTCGTTCTCCATCCTCTCCTCGCCGCGCCGTTACTACGCGAATTCGCCGCGTATCTGCTGCTGCTGCTGCTTATATTTGTGGGGAGCTATTCAACTCCTCACAAATCTATATATATATACATAAAAAATTGTAAAATTTGCCATGAGAACAAATAACAGACACCCCATTAAAATTCCAATTGGAGAAGCCCTAGTACTGACTAAAGTAGAAAATTTACACATTGACACACACTGGTGGAAAAAATAACAGAAACGGCTTACTCACTTTCGTATTTTTTTTTATTTCATAAAAAACAAAGTAGATATATCTCATATATATTTTTTTTAACATATACTTAAGTTTGTCTTGTAATAAGGAACAAAAAGATTTTTATGAATCACGTGTGGACTTAAAGAATTAATTTTCAGTTTTTACCCTGGAAAAAATAATAGAAACAAAACGTTGAAACTTCATAAACATAATTTTTTAAAGCCATAATGACTATGCGCAAAGTTTAACTTTTATAACTTGTATTGACGCGTACTCTAAATTCGTAGTAGTTAAAGAATTTCAATATAAATTAAATATCGATAATAAAGTAATGGAACTACTTCAACATTTTCCCCAAGCCAAAGTATTTATGACAGATAATGAACCGAGCTTTACATCGGCCCAATTTAAATCTTTTGCACAACCGAGGCTCATTATCTCAAACGAACAGGTTGAAAGGGCACATTGGACACTAACAGAATTAGCACGCTGCATAAAAAAAGAAAGAACCGATTATTCTGAAATTGTAACTAGAGCAGCTCAGGAATATAATCAGAGTATCCATTCCACAACAAACCAGAAATCTTATGACATTTATTATAATAAAATCGAACACGAAAGTATTCCTCAAATACTAAAAAAAAACTTAAAAAAAAAGGCTAGAAACACATAATGACAACAGAAAAGAAAAACAACATCATGTAGGACAAGTTGTTTATGAAAATAAATATGGAGAAAGAAATAAGCTTAAACCAAGGAATAAAAAGCAAATAGTTAAGGAGGATATGCCTAATAAAATAATAATTAACAGTAGAAACAGAATTATACACAAAGATAATATTAAAAATTGATAAACTATTTTTTCTTAACTTAAAAAAAATGCATTCTTTAATACCTATTTTATCATTCATAATATTGGCCAGTTCAGAAATAACTGATTACTCGAACCATGCATTTTTTTCTGTTCAAAGACAATAAGGACGTTCTTACCTACGAATCGTACAACGATTTATTCCACGTAACTTATTTAAGTTTTTATAAAGAAATAATAAATATAGAATCAGATAATATAAAATGAGATTCAAATAAAAGGTCACAATGGGAAATTAAATAGTATATATTAGCTAGATCAAAAAGGGGAATAAATGAGTTAGGCACTGTGTGGAAATGGTTAGCTGGAACTCCGGATCATGACGATTTCATTAAAGAACAAAATAAAATCAATGAATTAATTGAATATAATAATAAACAATCTATTATCAATTCCAAATTGTTCAATGAAATAGAATCTCTTTCTGAAGATTTTAAAAAGGTTTTTATTGATCAAGACTTACCACTAAGAAAACATCGCTTACGATTGTTAACACTTGACCTACTAAATTTAATTGATACTATCACCCTTGCAAAAATCGATGTTTTTAATACAAAAATTTTAAATAATGAAGATATTAATATAATATATATATATATACATTATCCAAGATAGTGCCATTTTAAGAGATCGCTTAAACGAAATTCATAATGAATCGTGACGATCCATTTTAGAAGGGGGAGAGTTATCCAACCCGTGAAACGGTTCCACTTATGGAATTTATAAACAAATTTTTGAATTCAATATCAGCTATGTTGCCCTTGTATTGAGCGACATTGCCTTTGCCTTTGTTTAAGATTCTGCCTTTGCCTTTTCCATTAACTTTGAGGGCTGCGCTTGACCGTCCTGCTAAAATAAATAAAACAACCGTGAAGTAAACACAAGCTTCCACTCGCCCTTTACCGTCCTGCTAAGATAAATAAATTCGAAGCCCAAACTCTTACGTTCGAAGCCTAAAGTATTGTGTTCTAAGTTCAGATCATATTGCGTTCCGATTTTCAATCAAATTGTTTCAGCATTAACTTTTATCTTAAACAAAAATTTAAAAATGGAGATATGAAATCAGCAAAGTGAGATTGAAATGCGCCACCTACCCGTGATCTCAATATATGGTTAAGTGGGCGGTAGACAGATTTAAGAGTAATGGGCGTGGAAAACATTTTTTTGGGTCAATAAATAAGTATTGACGAGACTAATACATTTCAGTTCAAATTTTTTTCTAGCATGAAAATTGTGGGCACCACAGGCTTAGGTGGTTTGTGGGCGTTAGAGTGGCCGTGGCTTTTGGTCGTTAGAGTGGGCGTGGCACATAAGCGTTACAGACTTACGAAGTTTCGAAATCTAAATCTTAAATACTAACTCTGTATCTTGGATAGTTTCCGAGATATAAGCGTTCATATGGGAAATTTTTTGAATGGGCGTGGCAACATTTTTTTCGGTCAATCGATGGGTATTGAAGAGGACAATACATTTCAGTAAAAACTTTTTTGTAGAACTTAAACTGTAGAAGCCACAGTTTTGGGCGGTTTGTGGGCGTTAGAGTGGGCGTGGAACATTACTGAAATTTCTCCCAACTTATTAGCATTAGTAGTTTCCGAGATCACAGCGTTCATACGGACGGACAGACTGACATGGCTAGATCGACTCGGCTAGTGATCCTGATCAAGAATATAAATACTTTATGGGGTCGGGAATGCTTCCTTCTCCTTGTTACATACTTCCGACGAATCTAGTATACTCTTTTAGTCTACGAGTAACGGGTATAACGAGAATAGAAATTTACTTTTCAGAATATGTTTACGTTTTCTGTAGTACTAATAATAAAAGAGAATTCTAACAATAAAATGAACAATGTTTATGAGCAAAATTTTATTATTCAAATTATTCTTTGACGCTGAAACCTACCTTTTTTCCCTGAACAGACTCTGGGTGTTTAGCGTGATACATGCAAAAGTATTTCCGATGACCATTTAATGCCAGGACAGTACCAACACAGTTCCGGGGATTGACTTGCAACTTTTGATTTGTACACAATGATAATCGAAGAATTTCTGCAAACCATGGTAGCCCTTTTTCAATTACCATATGTCCAAAAAATAATGTTTTTGATTTTCTGTATGGCCAAACCGCCTTATGAAAGTATGGAATTAGTTTATTCCGACTTTGGAAATCAGTTATAAGTAGTAAGGTACGGCATCCGGGTTTTAGTAGGCGAACCATTCCGTTATATTTTTCAGCTCTTAGTTCGTACAATTTCAGTTCCGGGATCAGATTATTATGGCGCTGGTCTGAAATGTAATACAATCATATTATAAAACACTGAATTCTTTATAAATTTTAAATACAATAATTCTTAGTTTTTAGAACTCTTAGGTCTTTAGACTTAGACGCAAAGGTGACACACTGACCCTTTTTTGTGATAGACTTCTTTTTAATTACCCTACTTGTTAATTTAACCATGGGTGAAAGTGAATTGAGTTTCACACAACACACAAATAAAACTTACTGTTTGCTTATCAAAAAAAGACTTAAGTCTATTTCGAACTATTCGAATTATTTTCCTACTATGTATACCATCAACCATAGCCCATTTTTGCCAAATTAAAGCGGATTTCAGACAGGGCCGGAAGACTTAAAAAAATTTTATGGGTTAAAAACTACCGGGTTTATCATTAAATATGCAAATAATTTAAATTCTTATGACGCAACTATGAACAACTATATCATTTAATATAAATCAAAATAAGCAAACCGTTGTCGCATGTAGACGTGTATTTATTGTGCTCCAGGAAAAAGTATTCAATAAAATCATAAAGGTGCAGTGACTGGTTAATAAATCTACTATAACGCGAAAAGACGCTTTCCGCGATAATATCGCGAATGTTAAAACTTAACACTGAAAACTCAAACTAGCTTAACCTCGATTACAATGAGTCTAAACGACGTTCGCTCACTACGTCAACGTAAGCAAGTCTCTGCAGCCAAAGAGCGCTGTATGTGCTCCAATGGAGGTATGCAATGACCTACGCTCATCATAAGTAACTAGCACCGCAATCTATTTAACAACGTCCACTGTAACAACAACAACAACCGCAACCGTATCGACTGTTTGTTTAACGACATCTTCAGTAACCATATCAACAAAAGCTAGCAGCGCATACATTAATACGTCTGCCGCTGCGCTGCCCGAAAAACAGAACAAAAACAAAGAACATGTTATGTTGGCTGTGCAGACTGGTATGGATCGCTACATCCAAATCAAAAGGAAGCTGAGTCCCCTAAATTCTCAACGCAAAAAAACCTGTGGTAATGCTAGCCTAGCTGCCTAGCCCATGAATACAAGCCGATTTAAAATCTTGACAGATGCCTCTGACGCTGAGGATGCCGAATCTACTGCAGTCGAGAAAATGAAGCCAAAGCCTCCGCCTATCTATATTTGAGAAAAAAGTTCCAATGTTCTTGTCAACAAAATCATCGAGCTTATTGGAAAGGATAACTTCCACATAATACCCCTTGTAAAGGGCAACATTCAAGAAACGAAAGTTCAAGTGAAGTCTGAAGATATATACAGAGTATTATCGAAATACCTTGCCGAGAATAAAAAGAACGTTTACACGTATCAGCTAAAAAGCAGCAAGGGCCTGCAAATCGAACTTAAGGGCATAGAGTCCTGCAGAGATAACAATGGCGCTACAAGAGAAGGGATTTACCGTTAAGACAGTCTTCAATATCCTCAACAGGGATAGAAAGCCGCAGCCACTCTTTAAGGGAGAGCTCGCACCAGAAAATAAGCCCCTCAAAAATACGAAGTGCAGCCCATATACAATCTTCAGTTCCTGTTGCTCCGCAGAATTGCCCGGTGCGTGCAGTTTGTGGAGAGCTTATGACTCCGCACACTGCCCAGCGAGCAAAGATGACTGCAAATTGAACAAGGGAGAACGCTATAGTCGAGTACATCGACTATCAGATATATATATTTTATGGGGTCGGAAACGCTTCCTTCTGCCTGTTACATACTTTCCGACGAATTTAGTATACCCTTTTACTCTACGAGTAACAGGTATAAAAGGTGCACAGAGGTACAGAGGTTGCCCAGTTTATAAGGAGCTGAAAAGTCGCATCCATCAGAGAGGAACTACTGCCCGCACCCAAATAAATAAGTTGACAAGTCACGATCAAACCCTGAAGTCTTCTTCTCGACTGCAGCCAGGTCCTCATTAGGACCCAGGGGCTGCCTACACCTGTCTCAAAAAGTTAATTTCTGCAATCAGCATACCAAGAACCGAACACGGCTCAGCAGCATCAATCGCCGGAGCAGCCAAAAAGCAACTTTGAAGCTATGACTTGCAGCCTGCTACAAGGACTACGGAATTTATGTCGTTTATGCGCACAACCATGCAAGATTGAATGCGAAACGAAAATCTTCTGATTCAAATGCATGTCGGAAAATTTGAGCCTTCACCATGAAGGTTCGCATTAGTCGCTTAGTCGATTGCCTGTTGTTGCTCCATATTGAGTTCTGGCTGATGCAGCGAGTCTTCGTTGTCTTTGCTGCTCATAATAATTAACCTTTTAGCAGTCCTCAATTGTACACCACGTTATAGCTCAGGACGAAAAGAAAAAGGGAGCGACCAGACCTAGCAACGCATCGAAGCCACACAAAACCTCAGTTCACAAACTGAGTCCCCATCATACCAGAACTGGTATGTACCAGTCTTACCCATGGTCACACCTTAAAGTATCATGCCTAACGAAAGACTGAACTACCTCCTCTCCGACACGGCCATCCTGACATATACACGTCCTCGTGTCTATAATAACATCTGAATTTCATTCCAATTAATAATTTTTATTGAATGCTTCCGAAAAACTTAGCCACATAATCTCAAATCCATATAATGTTCATTAACATAACTTAACTTCTATTTTTAACATGTAGGCTATTTTAACAGATCTCTGTTATATTTTCTTATAAACCATTTTTTTTAATTTACATTTCCAAACAAGAGATCAATAAAACATCTTCAAATTATACATTAATCAGTTCAAATCGTTAATTCGTAAATCAAATTAAATTGTCCATCGCCCAAAAACATGGCTTCACAAATTCATCAACCAAATTACTCGTCCATCGCCCATAACTTGGCTTCACGAATTCATCAAATACATTTCTCGTCCATCGCCCATAACTTGGCTTGACGAATTCATCAAATACATTACTAGTCCATCGCCCAACACTTGGCTTCACGAATCCATTAAACACATTTGTAAAGCAACTCTCGTCCATCGCCAACCACATGACTTCACGAATTCATCAAACACATTACTAAAATACATTACTAAAGCAACTTTCGTCCATCGCCAATCACATGGCTTCACGAACACTCTCTTTTTCAACAGGTTTTTCCAACTGACTTTGTTCTTTGTAATTTACATCAAGCTCTTCTGGAATTTGCACATCCGGTAACTTTCGCAAACTTTCGTGTGGGTACTTGTAACGCCTATTGTTCTATGTAGACTTTAAAACATATCGGTCTCCGTACAGTACCTCGACCATTAAAAAGGGTCCTCTGAACTTTGGATCTAATTTCGTTTGCTGTCTCTCGCTGATTTTAAGCAGCACAAAGTCACCCACACAGAACCTTGTTACCTTAGCCTTATTTTTATCAAATTTTGTCTTCTCATATCTAGCGGCCTCCTCCATGTTCTTAGTGGCCAACTCCCTTGATTTAATCTTGTCAATTTCATCTTCGGTATCACTATTAGGTATCAACCCCAGTGGTCGCCCAACTTTACCAATCAAAAGTTCTAAAGGACTACACTTAGTGCTACGATTAACTGTACAGTTAAGAGCTAACTGTACATCCCCCAGTGCATCCTGCCACGATCTAGAGCTTGTCTCAACAGCCGTCAACAGATTCTTCAGTGTACTCATGACCCTTTCAACTTTACCGTTAGCTCGACTTGCGCCCGTTCCCGTGAAGCTGCGCGATCGGCAATTAAACGTGTTGGCACGCCAAAAATGGCAATCGAAGATTTCATTGCGTTTACACAAGTATTAGCATCCAAGGAAAAGGTGTGAAATAGATAAAAGTATTTTGTAAAAGCGTCGATGTGTACAATAATATATTCTTTACGATCACTTTTTCCGCTCAATTTTCCCGATATATCTATGTGAACAGTATGCCAAGGAATGCTTATTTTTGGAATTGGGTGTAATTCCATTTGAGGTTTTCCTGACGTACCCTTAGAAAGTCTGCATGTAATGCAATTCTCCACAAATCGTCGAACATATTTTGACATACCCGAAAACCAGTAATGATCGTACACTTTATCCAGTGTTTTCTCCCAACCTAGATGCATGATAGACTCATGTACCTGATTTACAACTGACCAGCGAAAAGTACGCGGCACTACAGGTAAACAACGAGTTCTTGAATTCCTCTAAATCGTTCTATACAAAACATTTGATCTAATTTTATAAGTGGCAACTAATGCCAATGGTAAATCGTCATTCCTCAACTTAGTTAAGATTTCAGATATTTCTGGATCCTTTTGTTGTTCCACTAGTATCCAGTTCTCCGATATTTCTGTTAAGTCAATTCGTTTTTCTTCTATTTTATTTGGTACTGACTTATTTTTTGGACACACCGGGTTCCTAGATAGAAAGTCCACGTGTGGCATACGTTTACCTTTTCTGTATTCAATTTCGAATTCAAATGTTTGTAGAAACTCCCACCAACGATAAATCCTAGGTGACAACTCGACTTTATTTCGAGAGGATTTGATTGAATTACAGTCAGTAAAAATCACGAATGGGAGAATTGGAGAAATTCCATGCAGATAGTGACGGAAATGTTTTACAGCATTCACGACAGCCAACGTTTCTAATTTATATGATGTATATCTGGACTCACAGGGGCTAGTTGCTCTGCTAATGGGGCTTAGAGTTTATGCGGTGCAAAAGGATGGCACCATACCCGATAGAGCTGGCGTCGGTATGCAGTTCTATCAAAATCTGAGGATCAAAAATAATCAAGACAGGCTTGTTTGTTAATACACTAATGATTTTACTGCGAATTTGTTCATGTTGTGTTTGCCAATCAAAACTATTCTTTTCAGATGTGAGAAAATATAAAGGCTTCATCAGTTGAGAAAACCCCGGAATGAATTGACGAAAATATGTCTTAGAGAAGCAACTGACTTCGGAGGAGGCAACGCCACTAGTGATTCTATTTTGTTAAGATTTGGACGTATCTCCCCCGCTTGTATCTCATAGCCAAGGTAG